GTCACTCTGTTCTTAAAAGAACATGAAATAAGAGAAAAAATAGTACATTTTTATCTTATCAGTAAAGCCTGTTTTTGCCACAAAATGCCACCCACCCTGCATGAGCATTTGACTTTCTTATAAAATTTGTCATTATCCATAATACTGTAAATTGTCCACCCCTGCAGCATAAATATAACCTCAAGTATTACATCTTTCCCTTTGATTTGGAAATAGAAATATGGCTCGTCTATCATAACCATAAACTGCCCACACACAATGAAGTATTTCAATAAATATTAACTGATACAAGATGCTCCATTTCATTATAATGGGTTAGTTAATGAAGCCTGTCATGAAACAAAGCAACTGAGGAAAATTTGGTACAAAACAAAAATTTTTGCTTTGCCCAAAATGAAATGAATGTCTTTGAATGGTTAGGAACCGGACCAATGAAATGAATTTAAACAGTAAAACTTAAATTTTTTTTCTGGTGTCTGAGTTGACAAACGTCTCAGTATTGCATATTAAGAAAATTCATCCCGAACAACTTAATGCTTCTCTTTAATTGCTTTCTAGTAGAGTTTTACACAGAGATTAGTTTTTATTGTTTCAGAAATAAAATAGTGCTTATTTCTTCCAGAAGAATGAGAGAGTCTTTAGGATTTTTATTTACTAAGTCTTTTAGCTACTTTTCTATTATTGCTGAGATAAAATATCCAGTGCCCAAAGTTAATGGAGGAAAGGTATGTTAGTATATTTGCTGTTGAGATGAGTACAAGAAAAGTTTATTTAGCTCACAGTTTGTAGAGGTTTCAGTCCATAATCAGCTGGCTCCAAGGCAGGAGGGCTCATGGCAGAAGAGCAACAGTTCATGGTGGCAGAAGACAGCAAAAGCAAGCGTGTATGTGTGTGAGTGGGTGCTTTTCATGGTAGCCAGCAACAAGCCAGCAAAGCAACAAGAGAAAGGAGACAAGACTTTTTCTGTCCCTTACATTGTATGGAGGCTACCCGCCCTAGGGCAAGTGTAGTACTCACACTCTTAATCTTAGCCAGAACTATGCTGGACCAATTGGTGAAGTGATTTATTAATCCCTGTATCACACACTCTAGATTCAGCCACTTCTGAAAAAGTCCCCTGACTGCATGAGGCTTTGGGGAGTCATCTAGACACAAACCATAACTATAAATATATATGTGGGTTCCTTTAACCCGAAACCGGGCATATTTCAAAAGGTCCTACTCATCTTGAGAAATCGTTGCAGAAATTTTTGTCTTTTATCATTTCAGTCATTTAATTTACCACATAGTTAAGTGAAATCTTTTTAAAAGTAAGGTCCTTGACAAGTTCACAGGTGACTAGGTTCTTCTGACTTATTTGGAAAAATAAATACCTGTGAACCAAAGACCATGCTCAGTTCTATGAAATAAACAAGATGCACAACAGGACAGGTACCTGACAGGAGCGTGTGTCCTCCTGGTGCCCTCTCTTGCTGTCTTTCTTCAGCTGCCCACTACAGTTTGTCCTTCTCATGACCCATTCGGCATGCACCAAGGATTAACGAACAGATCAGTGAGAATTTACTGTGCCATCAGAGTATTTGAATTTTTCTGTTCTTCACCTTTATTAATGAATCCCTCAGAATTTATAATTTAAATTCTAGTTTCTTCACTCGTAATACACCTACACTCCACAACTTCTGAGTTACATGTGCAGCATTTAAAATCATGTTTGTCCTTGCTTTTACCACATTATTTCAAGCTTTACAGAATTCTTGTTTATTATCCCACTTAAAATGTAGTACTATGGTAAAACCATTTGCATATTTTACTAGTCTTACTCTACTAGTCTGCTACACTGAATATTCTGAGCTCTTTAAAAATCATCAACAAGATCCAGTCCATAAGGTAGATGCTCAGTGAATAGTGCATGCAGTATAGAACTTGAAAGCCTGAGACATATCATCTAGATGAGTCTGTGTCGTGTTTGAAAAACTGAAGTGAGAGGAGTTTAGTAGGCTAATGATTGCACAGTTCAAATAACTGGAGCTGAAGTTCACATCATTTGACTTGGTACAGGACTTGTTCCATGTAAACATGCTGCCTCAAATATTAGCCTCCAAGAAACATCTCCAAAGTGTACATTGCTGGCTTTTCTGGACCTGCTTCACTTGCCCCAACTTTGACGATAGCCTGAATAAATGTGTTGCTTAGGCAGTACATTTCAGCCATCCATTCATTCATTTCTCCATTACCTAACAAATGCGTATTTACTCCCATTTAATTGCATTGTATGTGGAATATGTGAGAATGCAATGTAAGTAGTCTCTGTATCAGGGAACTCTTAATTTATAGAGAACACAAGAAATGATTAGTAAATACATAATCACAAAGTTAAGTGATCGATGGGAGGTGGAGGTGGGAAGCTGAGATAGATGGTCTAGAAGAACTGAGGAATGGCATTTCAGACAGGAACAAGGGGATTAGAAGAGAATCCCTTTGTATTCCTTTTTCTCTTGGTTACAAACCTTGGTCCAAGCTATCAATTTGCATAAAACAATTTCCAGTTTACCATGCTACAGTATATCCCACCTCTTACTGCATGTGTAGCTCAAAATATATATTTTTTCAAGTAAAAATCCATATGTAAGTCTATTATTATTGGTACAGTTTCCCTTAAACTCTACCAATAATTCTGGGCAACTTTCTATACCTACCCCCATAACCGCTTAATTGTTAAGAATACATCTCCATAGATTAAGTTATTATTTGTCCAACTCCTTTAGGACAGGGGTCTATTATTTATTGCAAACACTTACTAAAGAATTGAGTCATCTAATATCTTTTTATGTGTAGAATTTCCAAGAGACTCAGCCTACATGTTCCTTCCTTATTTTTTGCACCATGGTTGTATCTTACTAAGACTCTGTATTATAATACCAATTAATAACATAAATACTCATAAGTTGTTTTACTTCCAGAAGAAAAACTGTCCTTCATGCAGTTGTCAAACATTCACTGGGTAAACAATAAGCAAAGAGCTGGATATTATCTAAACATGAAGAAGACTAAGGCATAGCACATATCTAATCAATGGAAACCTAATTGTAATTCAGTGTGATGACTCCTAATCAAAACATGTTGAGATGCCATAAAAGCAGTTATATCTGAACAGGGAAAAGTGGAACAGAGAAGACTTTGATGTGTATTGAAAGATAAGTATTAAAAGGTGAACAAAAGGACAGTGAGACTGTAACTGCATGTTATACCGTGCTAAACACCATGTGACTAGTAAAGTAGGTACAGCTCTGGCCTCTAGAAACTTCACAACCAAGTGGGACACAGTGCAGGTCCAAGATTCAAGACATAAGAAATGTGACCATTTTAAACAAAGATGCACAATATACCAGAAAAGAGGTGTTTTTGCATGGTCGCAGGTAAGAACAAAATTATGAGAGGATTTTTCCTAGTGGAGAATTTCCAAAGCATATCAGGTGGTCACTGTAGCCTTCTGCAGGAAAACTTATCTGTTTACCAAGTTATGCCACTAATGTAGATTTAGTTTTCTTACTATTTCTTTGATCTCTAAGTAACTTTAAAAAATTGAGTGACTGCTTATTTTTTTTAAAAAAGTAGTATAGGACATTATATTAGAATATATTTTTACAGGAAAAGATTTACTTTAAATTCCCTAAGACATGTTTTTATTATAGAGAGGAAAAAGAACTCAGTATTTATCAGTTTATGTGTAACTGGTATTTTCACCATTAATAATCTCTCTTTTGCTTTGACTTTGATTTTCCATGGATTTTGTTGTTGTTATTGTTGTTCTTGCTTTTCCTTGATGGGAAAGCAAGCCCAGGGCCATGGCAGAAACTGTGCTAACCCTAACAACCCAGCACCAGAGATGCGATTTTTAAACATTTCATAATTGTTTTCTAAATCTTTTCTAACTTCACTTCTTTATACCTAAAAATACACATTCAATGTGACCAATTTATTGTTTCCAAAACAGAAGATAATCTCGTGACTTGGTTATAATTGCAGAAGGAGTCTTTTGCGGGGAAAAGAATTAGTGGAGAGTTTTGTCAAAGAAAACTGCTTTGGTTTGTATAATTTGCTGAAATTTGGGCATATTAAAGTTATCCCCAAGGTCTGTCATATAAAGAACACACACACACACACACACACACACACACACACACACACACACACACAGTAATACATTTAGGAAATGTTAGCAGTTCAGGGAATAAATATTATTGATAATAATGAGATTCTTGACTACAGTAAAATTTAATTTATCTGGAATATGTCTGCTCAGCACATTCAGCTATTAGAAACATACTATCAACCAAAAAGTGGGCATTATTACTGCCAATAATAATAAAACCTTTAGGACCAAAACAGAAGCTAGAATTATACCGTTTCCTCCATTATTCAGATTGAATCTGTTGATCCTTATTGCAGAGAGCTCTTAAAGACTTGATTATTTGAATTTCTAGTGCACTGCAAATTATAAGTAAAATAACGAGCAAATTGGAGAAAGCTACTGCTAAAAGCACTCAGGTGGGAACTAACATTCTGATATAAAAAGAGGAAGAAAATTATATAAAGACAGATAAGTATGCAAAACCCATGATTGTGTGAGATTTAATATACCTTTTTAGTTTAGTAGAGAGATAAAACACAACCAGTTCGTTGTGCATAATCATTGTATTCTTTTGGCTGAAATATGTGGAGTATTTTTTCAAATGATTTCTTATTTGTAATATTAAAAAAGCTGACTCATTTGGAGAAAGATTTGCATGGGAAAAATACTTAATTTTCACTGGAAACTGCTAGATGAATGAAAAATGACAGTGGTACTTCAGCAATATTGAATGCAGCCGCTCCTGCTGACCCGAACTGCATGTGTTTGTGCATGACAGCGCTCTCTCAGTGTCCTTGGGAATAACTTTCTGCTATTCTATTTGTTTCTTTGCCTCTCTCTCTCTCTCTCTTTCTCTCTCTCTTTCTAGCCGGAGACCACCCCCATCACCAACTCGTCCTACTATAATCCGCCCACTAGAATCCTCTCTGTTAGACTAAACGAAGTGTCTGGCATGGCAATTACTAACGAATTATGTGAAAGCAACATAGCTGATAAGTGTTGCAGTTAATCATGAGTAGTCGCATGTGTGGACATCAGTAGGCAAGTAACCAGTTTTACTAATGCATTCGTCACTCATCTTCATTGCTCATGGTATATCTATTTTGGTGGTTTGACTCTTGAAAACTTCTGAACCAAGATCAGTTTATAGAGCAACCCTATACTTTGGGTACCATTTGCCTGGCCTGGCGTATATTTGAAATTGCTTTAGACAACTTTTCCACGTTGTCTGCCAGATAGCTCATTAAATATAATTATTAACAGATATGAGATACTAATGAGCTTAGAACTAAGACATACATATTTCTTTTCCCATTCTGTTTAGGATGGCAGAAATTCTCTTGTCTATTATTAGCGCTATCACCTACCTGATAATTACATATTTAACTACTCTTCTTTATTTCGTAAGACTGCTAGGAAGTGATTTTTTTTAAACTGAAAATCCATAAGAATAAGACTTTTCCAGAAGCACAAGGTAGTTTGCAAAGGAAAAGTCTCTATTGTTTGCTCTAGAGAGCTGTTTCCCATCCCAGTATGTTTCGTTTCATGCTACAATCATCAGCTATGATGAAATCAAAGCTTCTTTGAGGTAATAAACCAATATAGTTAATTAGTTTTAGAGTTCAAGGAAGAAGCAAAACATTCCATCTCTAAAAGTGTCTGGAGAAATGTAATATCTTTATTTACATACCTAGTCACCTCCTGGTACGTGGCATTGAAGACCAATCTGCAAAATGTTTAAATTTTCCAGCTAATCTAATTTTTGGCATGACTAACTATAGCATCGTACTAACGCCCATTTTGTTTATCGTTTTGGTTGGAGCAAAAAAATTCTTTCCATTCTACTTTACAGTTCTCTTATATATTTGATATAAATAGTTATGTAAGAGCCCTTTAAAAAGAGGTAGTGTGAGTATCCATTCTGAATTCTTCCTCCTCCTCAATCCTGGGGAATGAATATAGGGTCTCTCACATATCCCAGACAAGTGATCTTCCCCTGAACAACATCTCCAAGTCAACACTTTAGCTTTCTTAAGAAATCCTGAGACCTACTATGAAGTAATCATGTTGAAAGAACAGTACCTGGGCTAGAAAGAAAAGTCAGTCAAAGATATCATGGTCTAAGGCAGCCTTCTCACTTTTACAGATACACCACCTTAGGATCTGTACCTAGCTCACTGCAGGAAATGATACTGAAGCATTGAGATCCAAAGCAAACTTGCAGCTTCTAAAATTTACAAAAACCACTTAGTTTGAAGCTTAATGGTTCGGTCTTGAGGCTAGGTTTTGAACTACTGAGGACCAGATGATTAACATGTAGGAAACAGTCAGAAGCCAATTGGAATTTTGTCTGCTAACTGTTCCCAGACAGCGGAGTCACTATTCACTGAATCATGGTGTCCTATGACATTATTTCATAGTCTACAGAAGTAAATCAGATTTTACTAACTGAAATGTCTCCCTTTGAAATCAACAAACATGATTTGTATGTTAACATTAATTTCCTGTGTAGTTTATACTCAAGGCAGATACTCATAAAGTATGAAATAAAACCTTTTAACCATTATTAAAGAGAATTTGCCACATGGAATGACATTGTATTGAACATATTCTAAAGGGTTACAGCTAGCCCAGTTATGACAGGGAAAAAATGTAAAATACAAGATTTACAAAAAGGACATATGAACATTCAAATTCACAAGTGATTACAAAAGAACATTTCCACCCTAATGTCCTTTTATAGCTTATATTTTTCTCTTTGAAAAAATTAATTCTTTGCCAATGTGCAAGACATAAAGTACATTTTAGCAATAAACTCTTACATATACAAACAGTAAAGAAATCTGCAGTGAATTTTTTCATAAAACTTCCTCTTTTTAGGATTCCCTTTGCTTCTTCCTTTGAATTCTCTAAAATAGGCAGCTAACAGATTATATACTCCAGGGTTTGGCTTTGTGCTAAATGTGGTTTTGCATTCTGCTGTATTTCAAAAATTTCCTTCTGTTAGAAGAAAATATTGTGGACAACCACTGGTGCGTTCTCAGATCAGCACAAACCATGTCAAAGAAAATTGGAGATATTTTTTTCCAAGTTTCTTTCCATGGATCTTAGGCAGTCATAAACAATGGTATTTGTCATCATTGGCTTTTGTCTTTAGATTATAGTCCCACAGATGTGCTGTCCCAACTGTCTCCCTTTGTTAGTTCATTTTTATTCTGTTTTACTCCTAGTTATGTCTAATAGAACCCAGTCTCCCCGAAATTTCAGCAGTCACATTTGAGAATATTTCCAGTTTGCCATAGTACTCCACATCCTAAGGGTTTGCAGTCTGCTAAGAGGAGGTGTCATTGTGAATGAAGTCTGAAGCTCCAAATGTATGTGTAGAGTTTGAGGTTCAGCATGCACATCTGGCCTTAGGATGGGGATGTAGCTTAAAGAGCTTTCTGTTTCCCGCTCCATTTCTAATTGTTCTGATGTTGTCAGCACAACAGATGTCGCTCCGTCTTGTCTAGTATCCTGAGAAAAACATTTTTAGGATTGGAAAAATTAAACTGTATATGTTTGTTTGATAGGTGAATCTAATTTTGTAGTCATATGCTAAATTTTGCATGCTCATGAACTAATTGGGATAACCATTTACTCAGCTGTGGACAGACAGAAATCGTTGATTTAGAACAGGCATATTGCATATCCAGAATTCACTTGCCAAGAATATCCTTCTGAGTGTTGCTTTTAGCTGTGTTTTATGACATAGTAGAGCAGTATGGTCTGTTTATCGGCAAATTTGCTCTATGTTCAGACATCAACTCATCCCAAAACACAGTGAAACCAGTTTCCGTGCTATAACTATAAACCTTCAGAACTTAGGATAAAAGTTAGCCACATAGATTAATTTTGTGACTTTTTAGTATAGACTGTAGCCATAAATCTAAAATATGAAATGGGACCTAATACCAGTATGTGATAAATGTTGATGTTTTCTGTGTACAAACACATTTTCTATGCATGTGTCTCTGAGTATACGGTATATACATAGTAAATTTGTCCCTGTAAGTACATGTATTTTTTTCTGTTTAAGTAAGTTTAGAAACACTTGTTAAAATATCATAAGCATGAGAGTGATTGAATGTGCATTGTATATATATATGTATATGTATCAGTGTAAATATATATGTAAACCTGTACTTACATATGTGTGGGTATGAATATATTTTTAAACTGTTAATCCAAGAGATATCTTTGGAGGATCTTCCATAACACATAATAACAGTGGTTCACTTCTAATGACATAAATGAAACATATAAAATGTCCTAACTTCTGATCCTATTGTTTCTGAGATGCACGAAGCTTATAATAACCATGACAACAAAGTGACATCCGTAGGCATTGATATCTAAATCCACAGCACTGCTTTCTAAGATGGAATTACCTTTGACAATATAAAGCTTGAGAACTGTAAGAGCTGGAAACCTGCCTTTAAGATCTCCAGGTAGAATTATAAGTTATTATTAAATTGCCAAACTGAATGTTCCAAAGCTAAACTGATCATGTAATCATTTTTTCTTTATATGAAAAGTAAAAAAACCAGAGGTATTTAGCCACATAGTAAAAGTAATGGACTTTTCTGAGTAAAATTGCTTTGTAAATGCAAGGGAGAAGTTACTTAATTCCTTGGAGGTAGATTACCAACTTTTTCAAATAAACATTTCTCATTTGGCAGATGGTATGATTTTTTGAAATTGAATTTAGATTTAAGAATAAAGCTGAATAGTAGATCTCTGAACTGTTGAACTCAATGTAAAATAGATCACCAGTGAGGCTGGGTTCTGTACTGTTTCACCTAGAGGACCACGATCTGTGAGCTCAGAGTTTAATGTGGATGAAAGTACATGATTTTGGAGAAACAGTGGATATCTCACCAGCTAGATCACTCAGTCCTTCCTAAAGAGCTCTAATGTGTCTTCTAGATAATCTTAGTCCTTCTGTCTAGTTGGTATATTTAAAATTGTGTGGTGCTCTGTATGTGAAACTTTAAGACTATTTTTGAAATATATGTAATATATGCATTACCATTTGTGTGTGTGTATATATATAAATGCATATATGTAAGAATGTGTGTGTGAGACAACAAGAGAGAAAACTCAAGGAAGCGTCTTTTGGCTTAGATTGTTCATACTGATGTACTGGTAAGACTTCTCACCTTTATGGTGGAGGGTTTCACATGTGGCTCAGCATTAATTTCTTTTTAATTTTATCCTTCTATTCTTTAAACTTTGCTTGTGATGTAAGTTTTAAATTTTGACACAAATTATTCTGCCTTCTTGCGTTGACCTCTGCCAGTCTGTAAGTCACCTACCCAACCAGAGATCTTACCACTATTAATTTGGTGTGTATTTTATTTCATGTGGACAGCCTTTATCTTGTTACGTCTGTGTTCCTATTTTCTCCCTTTTCTGACTCGAATTCTTCTTTCACTTTTTTTAATGAAATAGTATATAAAAGTGAAATCTTGTGTTCTCTGTTGATTCCTTAATTAATATGAGCCAGAATACTTTTGCTGTCTTCTGGGCACTTTCCGGATTTCTAACTGCTGATACAAGGACTCTGTGAATGGAATTTTTGAAGCAAATTCTTAAAACCTGTATCATTCTTGAAGGTCACATGTACCTATTGTGAAAACGTGACGCTGTATTTCTGAACCTGAAATAAATTATAACATTTGAAGGATCCTCCCTTTCCTCATTCTTGTGTATGAATTATGTCTAGGCATTTCAGTAATACCTGAGACTATAAAAAATATTGTAGCTCTTCTTCTTGAATTGGCTCAGAACTACCGAAATGGAGAATGGTAACATTTTATTTTTTGTCATTAATCAAGGGAGGGGAAAACTTTTTTAAAGGCAACAAATTGAATAGTTCAAAGGCAGTGGATTGAGCAAGACTTTTTCCTTTATCTGAAGGAGCTGTTGTAATAGACTAAAGGACACAAATCTTAGCAGGTACGTGGTGTTTACCATTGAAAATACAAATTTGTCAAAAGATCTAGGAAGCAGGAGGAGGAATAATATTCTCCTCAAATAGTAGGTCAACAGAAGGTACATCTTATTGGTAAACAATTGAGCTCCTGACCCAACAGTCGGTTTCCAGTATTTGCTTCAGTGGCTTTAGAATGGGGCAAATGCATTCAGTGTGCTTATCCTAGTACAGCCTGTGACCAACAAAGGGTGGGTGATAAAGTAAAACAGTAATGATAGCTCTCACCTTCGCATAATCTCCCCAGAGCTCTGGTGCTTTGTTACACAGTAGGATCTGAGTTCCAAGAGGAAGGTCTCAGGAATCAGGGGACTTGACATACATAGGAGATACACGTGTGATGAGTCTTCGTGGGCCTGGAGTCACATTCAGGTGGTTTTCTGTGTTACTTTATCTCTCCTACTCTTCAAAAAAGAGTTCTATTAACTTAGTTACATTATCCTCATGAGATTATTGTGAAAGGATCTAAGCTGGTTTAAAATTAAAGAGCATCAGAGAAGAATTTAGGAGAACATCTATTTCTGTTGCTTTTCATCAATTTCCCAAGCTGTCAAGCTCACCCAGTGTTCTAAGATGATGGTATCTGAATGATGTGCAAGCAAAGCAAATGGAGACTCTGGTGAGGTTTTCACAGAAAAGAAAAAAAGGTATAACCTTCCTAACCCCAGGAGGAGTATGTGGGCAACTCAATATTAATAATAATTGAGTCTTTTGTATATAAGTTATGATCTGAGGGCATAAATTCCACATACAGATTTTCCTGTCTCTTTACCTTAAAAGTGTTTTGGTCAAACAACTTTATTATTTTTCGGGATGTTTAAGAAAATACAACTTCAAGTTTTAATGTTTGTTAGGTTGGTATGCTTATGTGGCAAATACCAGGATGAGAATTTTGAAATTTGTTAACAATTCACTATCCAGATTTAGGATTCCAATTTTCATGGTGGGGTGGCAATAGCATAAGATACCTTTGTACAGGTATCTTTCTACAGGTAAAACGCCCAATATGTTCAGTTCTTGCTTTCAAGTAATACAGAGAATTCTGGAAATGAATTAGCAACAATCCACACTACCCAGATTCATGACAGAACTCACTCTGGCCTACTCACTAAATGTTGCTATTAGCAACAGTGGGTTTGTTTTTGTTTTGTAGGTTTGTTTTGCTTTGTTTTTCAGCATTCAAAGGAAAGTTAGATGCAAGATAAGTAAGAGGGAAAGAGTTGTTTGAGGGGACAGATCCCTGATATTTGAGGCAAACATTCTAGCTACGGATGAAATATATTTCAAGCCAAAATTTCTGATCTTGTTCCTGGATTAGGACGTCAAACTAGCTCCAACAGGAAAGTGATTTGGCTTTGCCCATAGAAAGTCCCTTCAACACTGTGGGTTTGCTGTTCAACTTAATGGCTCACCTCTCCACCCTGCTGAGGTAATTAAAGTGTTCTAAAACCCCTTCAAAATTCAAAAATAGTTTCTGTTTGCTGTCCAGGTGATAAATCTCATTGAACCTGACAGAAATTCAATTACACTTTCTTCATGAAAACACCGGGGATACTCATTACCTGGATCTCTCAAGCTAAAGGCTTGCAGAACCCCACAGTTGAAAGGTTAGGTACTAAAAATAAGTTCTTCATCATTTAAATGGATGGAAGTCCTCTTTGCAGTAGCCTGCTTAAATTGGGCTGGAAAACAAAGTTGGTCTTGGTTTTCAGGAAGAACAGTTTAGAAATAGCTATCAGTGTGTCTCTGTTAACATCACATGAAAGAGAAAATAAAAAATATTTTTGGTGTTTGATTTTTAGACACATCACAGCTTCACTCACTGAATTATTACAAGATTAACAAGCATGCAAATGTGTTGTCAAATGCTGGTTAGTGGACAAAGTGTGACTCCAAAGAAAGTGGGGTGTGAGGTAACCTCACAGTTCTTAAGCCTGCAGCAGTGTTGAGTTCATTAGATACTCAGTTCCAAAGAGTACACTTTTGCTAAAAACCAGTAGGAAAGCTTTATTTGGCCTGCTGTTCATCTACTACAGAACTGTTCGTGGCTATGTGTAGTTCCTGTGCCTTCTCTATCTGAAAATCATCTTCCTGGCAAATACCAGAGCAACCAATGTGGAATGAAGCACAGCTCGGGAGCCTGATTCCATAACCTATGAGCCTGACTAGAGAGCTGCAAGCCAGGCTAGGAGTATGGCAAAAAGTTCAGCAAACTAAATTTCATTTAATCTGAACTCACTTCAGAATAAATCAGTTTCACCTAGCTCTCGGTCAAAAAGAAATCCTACAAAATCTTGGAGTCCCTGTGGATCAGCCCTGGCCTCCAAGTGTTGCTGGGCCTGATTCCAGGCCGTCAAAGTGAAAACTGTTCACAGAGCAAATTCTTATTTAAAAATACTTTCCGTGAGATTAACCCCTGCCCATTTTCTGCGTTGTGATTACATTGCTCAGTTGATCTCTTGACATCTTCTCATTTCCCTCACTTTAAAATAATTTCACTTGCCATATTTCTGTATCAATTCCTTCTCCCCTTTTAAAGATTGCAGAATATTCATTTAAGTCTTTGGAAATAATCGTGTGTCACAAAGTCAGGACTGGGAATTAAATAATGCAAGTCATAAAGGTATTTGGCTCTGACACTACCCCTAGTTCTCCTAAAAGTGAAGTTATAATTCCATGGTGCAAAATAATAAGATTGTTGAGTGGACTCAGTCCCAGCACACTACTGATAGCCAGGAAATGTCCCGACGGATGCTAACACTGTTTTGTGGTCCTTCCATGTCCCCTGCATGTGTGCTGGTTATTGTTTTGTTATGTGTTTTGTCCAATTTGAATTTGACTTTTGTGGGATATTTTTGCATGCTACTATTTGAATTTATTTTATAACTTAAACATCATTTTCTTCCTTTGCATCTGTGTTTTTCTATTTGTTATTTTGTTTTGTTTTTACTAGGCGACCCCCTCCTGCAGTTCCAGGACGACCATCTTAACCCTCCACCATTCACCTTTTGTTTCCGACAACATGTCTGTCTGTGGTATTTAAAAGCCTTCCATTTGCACTATGTGTCACATGTACATAAAAGCCTTTATTTTTGATCTTTGTCTATAATAAAAATAAAGTTTATTCTATATAAAAATGAAAATGTTTGTTTCTTTTTCTAAAGACTCAAAATAAGAATTTGTCTCAACTAGAACCAAGTAAAGTGAACAATATGTAACTTGATATTTTAAGGAGATTAATGAGAAAGAGTCCTGGTTTTTAAAGCACTATGATTTAAGATTCTCTTTGCCAGAGAATAAGTATCTATCTTCAACTGAAATCTCTACCAAAAGAAAAGTGAAAAGATGGAAGAAAAATTCTGAGTGTCTAGAAAAGATACAGAATAATAAGTAATTTTGATCTACTCCAGGAATTCCTTTAATAATCATTGTACCAAAATATTTTTCTTAATTTTATATTTTTTGAATATTCAAGAATTAAAATATGTGAGTTCATGGAAAAATGGAGGTCTGAAACACATAGCCTCACAAATTTTATTTGGCAAAGTCAGAAGTTAAAAAGCAATCATAAAGTGGGCATGGTGGCACATGCCTGTCAGGCCAGCTGTTCATGAGTCTGAGACAGGAGGATCTCAAGTTCAAGGCCAGTCTGGGCAACTTAGCAAGACTTAGCTCATTTCAAAGGGGAAAGGAAGAGGGAGAGGGGTGAGAAAGGAAGGGAAGGGAAAAAGAAAGGGAAATGGAATGGGAAAGGGAAAACAAAAAGGAAAGGGAGAGGGAGGCAATCAGGAAGGGAGGAAGAAAGAAGCCCATGCAAAATGTAAGTAAACGAAGACAAATGTTGCTGTCTTGGGAAAATTGTTTATGATGTCAATAAAGTACCAGAAAAAAAATTTTATAAGTTTAAGGGAAAAATACAACTTTTTATGCCTTAATCCTCAAATCCAACATTGAATTTTTGGTCCATTATATTAAAATATCCCAGACTTACCCAAATAAAATGTTTATTAAGCTAATACAGTACACTCTGCCACAGAAGTGACAGCCCTCCCAAATGTTTTTAATTCAAAGTGTTGTGACAATTTACCAGGTGGTATTAGAATTTCAAAGTAGCCCTTCTCAGAGGAGAGCTCTTGTGAATGTGCCCCCACCTACGCTATTTAAAGTAAGAATACTGTATGTTAAGAGAGAGAAATAATTAGTCATCAGCATGTGTATTCCCATCACCTCACTGGCACTGCACATGTATTTTCCTAGGTCAGCCCTGGATGAAAGGAATGAGGAAGCTGTGGGCAGGCTCTCTCAAATCAAAAGGAGAGACCCTCTGCCTTACTAAGGCTTTTTCTCTGGACCATAAAAGAATTCTTAATAATTGAAATCTTCACTCAATGCAAAGCCTATCTGTCAGGTTGAAAGTTTTCTGTCACACCGTCATCCATTTCCAGTGTATCTCAGGTCAGTGGCGATTTACAATAGTCAATAGTCACAGAGTTCAAAGGCTCCAAAGCAGGAAGTTTACCTGAAGCTGCTGTATGCCTGGGGGTGACTGAGTTGGTAGAAAATAATCCAAGCACACGGTTCTGCCCTTCCCATCACCTCGGTCTGGGCATTTGGCTTTTTGATCAGTATTTTTACTTCATGACACTCTTATGCGAGAGCATCTTCCTCCCATCAGATACAGTATTTCCAGATTA